TCTCAGAGAGACTGAAATGAGTGATTTCAACGTTTCGTTCGGCAATCTGGTTGGAATGTCTTCAGGGAAATTAATCAAAATTAACTAAACTGAGGTTTATGTATAAAAGGAACATATCTTGTTTTCAAAAACTTTGTCAAATCATGAGTCGTAAAACAAGTATTAACAAGTATAATAAACACAAATTGTATGAGCCATAATCAAAATGTTCTCACCACAACTTCTAGAATCACCTCCTCTCATTCTTTTGAAGACGTTTGATTCCTTTTCGAATTCAGCGTCATTATCTGGTGTACCCTCAACTGACCATAGGAGGTATTCACCACCTCTCAAACCTATCGTGCATTCCGAATAGTGCTGTGTTTGAATATTGTTAAAAGTGATCTTCGTACACACTTCGTAGATGATAATAAATTGTTAATTCGCTTGTAAAACCGAATAAAAACAGTCAAGATTATAATGTCACGTTTCTTGTATCAATATTTAATATCCAACCGCTTTTTACCAATGCATACGCACCGTATGTATTTATTTGAGCCATTCGCATTCTCACTTCTTAAACAAAAGAGTTACATGGTTAATACTGTTTTGATTGGACACCAGTAGCTATTGTGACGTGTCCAGTCCTATCTTTCGTGCAGACTGAATTCTATCAGTCAGTTTTCGTAATGTGGCCATCATTTTTAGGTAGCTAGCCATCACGGTGCGTGGTACACACTGTGTTGTGTGAGCACATTTGAGTATTTTATCTCCACAATATCGAACCGAAGTTTAATGTGGTGAGCTATTTGGTACTTTTCAATAGTAATGGGTCATATCAAAACACAGAAGCATCTTAACAATGTAATTGGACAACTGCACAGTCCAAAAGACTTTTAGTTAGGAAATACGTATCAAACACCAAAAACAACTGACCACTTAGAGCCATCATATGCCTGAGAATCAAGAATGAAATTTTCAACAAACTGGGGTTGACATCATGTCCACAAGAATCAGTCATGTCAGAATATCTGTTTCTAGAGAGTCCCCAAGTCCAACCTGGTAATCTACTGCGCCATGTTTGCTCACTCACATAAAGTGTAGACACTACTAATGACATATTAATAATGCAGTTTCAGTAAGAGACGATATTTTGTGATCCACTGAGATAAAGTTTGAAGATGAGTCACCGTCAGAATGACAACGGATACATAAGAGGCAAAAGATGATCTACAAGGAATTAGCCGACATACTAAGATAAATAATAATACAGCAAATAAGAAATTCAGAGGTGAATCTCAGATCACTTGTTCTGCCCAACAATCTGGTGAAAAATGAGGTATGAAGATAAATAACTTTGTAGACGTAGGGAAATCAAGTGGCAACTTAGTTTAAGCATTATTCATTTGGTCGGGACCATGAAATATGTCGAAGTCATCTTTATTTCTTCCTCATATTGCGGACGACTCGATTCGGATGTGATTACTGAGTTCGCTATCAGATTATTGTCGTTTTAAATTCAACTCACCTCTGTTGAAATAATTACGCAGCTTCATGTATAATGTGCCACCTCAAGTATTTGATAGTACTGGGTATCATCTGTCGACTACATTTACAGAATGTGCAAATTTCCTTACAGCAATAATAATCATTTTGAAAGCTTCGTCTGTCTGTATTTCTTTTATTTGTCAAAGCCGTCTGGTAATCATTAACACGAAAATTAGTCATGCACCAATGGAGAACATATTGCACCAACCACAGACGATTTACTGTGATGTTTGTCAATAAGAAATGGATATCGAATCTGACTAATATTCCGAAATGAATCTGATAGTGAATGCATTTACTAGAAATGACGACATTTTTGCCGCAAATAACCACATGTTACTCACACCGTCACATACTACATGACATCCATTCTCGCAATATGCTCAGATTTCTACTCATTTGGTTGCTCAAAATTTTCAGTGGATGGTCTGACAATCACCTGCTGATTGTTTGAGAGCCTGCTTGCAAATATTCGTCAGGTGTATGGTATTTTTCAACACTCTTTTTTTGTACCTGTTAAAACCTCAAGTATAAACTATGAAGGTTGAAGAAAATGCGGGAGATAAATTGACACGGAGTGGTTCATTGCCTGAGGAACTGGTTGACATTAAAAACGGAGAAAGCAGAAAGAAGAATTATTTCTGAAGCTGATGCGATTTACTGAAACTTCGAAAACACAGGTTTAGTTTGTGATTTTCTTACAAGAAAGGATGTGTGTTAGTGCAGTCGGCCATTTTCTGAAATAATAGGCCAGCGTAGCTATCTCGTGATTAGCCACACGACAAGTGAAATGCTAGGCGAGGATCACAGAAATCTTTACGTTTTTAACACTTTCATAACTTAGCCGTGTCACTTCGTCGAATTTGAAGTTAACATGTTGCTGGTGGGCTGATGAGGCTGTCTCCACGGATACTTATGTGAGACATAGAAACAGTGGAAATATTCGTGAATAAATGCTGAAAAATTCTCGCTGCATTCAGAGTATAGAGGGATTCAAAAATACGGAAGTTGAGATTGTCACTGTTTTAACAATGTCATCTAGTGCCATAGAAGTTCACCTGTGCACTTTGATTGGTTTGGAGTTTTAAATATAGCCACCTTTTTGTGTGGTGGGTGGCGATTCAAGTATCATGAATGTATGTCTTTTGGAGACAGGTGATAAATCCTACATGCATACTATTGAATTGTAGGAGATAGTTTACTAATAGACCGTTAACTAATTAACGAGGCTAAGCATATGTTCAAAGTCGTTCTCAGTCAGTCTTGCTCCATTTGGAATCATTTTTTATGCTTTGGATGTGAGAAATCATTTCATGGTTGATATGCGATGTAACTTGTTACCTAATATTTCATCAGTATTGTCAAAAGTTCCCTGCAATGGAATTAACTTCAATCAAACTCCCATCAAGTGTTAATTCTGATGAAAAAATTAATCGGTAGACTCAGATAGCCTTTAGAAGATATATGTATTTGCGAGTCAGAGGATTGATGAATGTGAGAGAAAATATTAATATTCTTTTTATCTTGAAATGACTGAATCAATAACTCTGAGACTATCTGTATTTACCGGATTCACTGGTGTCTTATACCGAAACCATTCTAAAAACGGGAACATTCGAAAGATTGGAAGAGGAATGGGTGATGTCTTATTACTTCGTCAGAGTTTGTATACAACAGTTATAACTGTCATTTGCTGCAATAAGGTGAGATATACATCTCGTGATGGCATTGGATAAGCATCACATCTTTCGATTCATTTCATAAATATTGTCGATTATTTTAAACGTTTTACATAACCTCGATCACCCATTATGATCTGAGTTTCAGGCAAATATGTAAACCCCCGATGAATAACTTTAAACAAGAGAATCGTTAGTTATAAACTTTCCAGTGTTTTACATTAGCGTCGTTGATACTTTTTACACTACATCTCCAGCACTTTTCTCCGTCATGTGACCAAATTGACTTGATTTAGTGATCGTCTTCTATTGCTTTTACGGCGAATTTGTCTCCCAAGGTCTTTATCTAATACGTGTATTTCACTTGTGGTCATGCACAAAAAAAACAGGGCGTCCACCTATTAACACAGCGGTTAGGACTCTCGCTGACCATGTGAATAGTTCGAACTGCAAAATTTGGGTTGACGATATCACATGCTGAGTATTCTATACTTGAACCGAAAAACGGTGAGTATTCAATGTGACAGACAACGGCAACCAACGAGGAAACAAGCATAAAATGGACTCACACAAAAGACTTGAAGGATCTGGACTTCACCGATGATATATGTCTGATTTCTCACAAACTGAAAGATATGCAAGCGAAAAGCAACAAGTTGACAGAAGAAGCATCAAAGATAGGACTTCAAGTGAACATAGATAAAAGAGAGGTGATGAAGATTCCTGGCCAACAGCAACAGCAACAACAGAAAACAATCAGCATAAATGGGAGGAACCTGAAAGAAACAACCTCCTTCACCTACCTGGGAAGCATCATTTCAACTACAGGCGGAACTGAGGAGGATATCGAAGCCAGAATCGGAAAACCAAGACAAGCTTTCATTACTGTCAAATCTGTGTGGAGGTCAACAGCACTCACCATCAAAAATAAGATCCGGATTTTCAACTCCAATGTAAAATCAGTGGTTCTGTACGGATCAGAGACTTGGCGAGTCATAAGGAGCATCTGAAACAAATTTCAGACCTTCATTAACAGTTGTCTTAGCTCAATACTCAAGATCAGATGGCCAGAAAAGATCAGCAACAGGGATCTCTGGGAGCGAACCAATCAGGAACCGATTGTGAAACAAATAGGCAGAAAGAAATAGAGATGGATTGGCTGGCCATACGCTGAGGAAACCATCAAGTGACATCACTAGACAAGCCCTCGAGTGGAACTCGAATGTGAGGCGGCGAGTTGGTCGTCCAAGGGTGACTCGGAGGAGGTCATGCGGAGAGGAGTTGAAAGCATGTGGACAGACCTGGAGCAGGGTGAAAACGTTAGCAGAAAACAGAAGGCAATGGAGGTGCGCAGCTGAAGCCCTTTGTTCCTCTAGGAACTAAATGATACAATAATAATAATTCAATCTACAATCAAAAAAGCAACACTTATCTGTCCGGTTTTATACAGAGTAGAAAATCAATTTATAGATTGCACAATATACATGGCAAATGCATTGTGTTCAGTATTTCACTGAAATACACACATCAGGATTCCAGCGGAAGGAGGTTAGTGCTAACATATTCGCTAGTCTAATACAACAAATACAACAAGCTGATCGAAATTATAATCATTGATTATTGATTGGATATTCAATAATTCAGACAGACAAAGGTGACACTGTATGACATGGACTTGGATTTCATATTCTTATGAACTTTGAGACATATAACTATTTATTAATATACACGCTGATTGGAAAATAAACAAAATGATCAATAACGCGCACTTTGCCAGACTGAAGTGTAAAATATATACTCGGAGCCTTTCAGAGAAAACGTATCCACATAAGCTTACTTAGTAGAATTGATTACATAAATTTCCGAACATGAATAAAGTACTAAAGGTATTTCTAGTCATTCTCCAAGGTTGTATCTTTAGAATACAATGAATGACGGGATGTCTGCGAGATGGTGCATTATAAAGGTGGGAATACTTGCGGTTTAGTTAACACGGATACTTTAAGTTCATCATCTCTTCGTGTATAATGATTGCAACAACAATGATCATCACTTTGTTGGTGGCTAACATGTGAGCTTAGGAAGTTACTAAATGCATTCACATCTTTAATTTAGACCACAACTACGGGGAACTATTTATTTATTTTTTGATATACCAATCGCTCTTATGTGAGTCATCATAAGATATAGTTTTAATAAATATTTCATGATATATAAATAAGCAGATAATTTGATCCCGATCCTTATATGTGTGCATACCAATATAAATTATCGATAAATGTATAGCGGAAAATGCTAACTGCTGAAAGAGTCTGAATTGAAGTTTTGTCATAAATTGTTATGAAGACTGCCCAGCTGTTTCGGGGCAGTTTGCGATTCTTCAGCTGTAGTGCTACTGATGAACAGTATCATTCGTCGTCACCCGTAGGAAAGTGGACTGGTGACGAACTGATAATAGTTAGATCGCACGGACCAGACCGCTAAATCACCTCATAAACAGAATGCCATGGGATACGGCCACTATGGGGTAGTGATTGCATACTGTTGGAGCCCTATGCTAGGGGGAGACAACTCTCTAGTACTCACAGGTTTCAGTGCTTCTCCAGGTAATGTCAACTCGTGAATAAACACTAAACTACATATTCAGCTTATATTGATCTAATGACCGTTACAGTCAAATTTATTTCAGGTTCATTGCATCAATCCTTCAATTGGTGTTGCTTTTTACTCTCAATCTCGACAACGTATTCCCAGTGAATTATTTATCGGCTTCATTGAGCGTGAGTGAATCTACTTATTATGTATTTCTATGTATGTGCGTATTTGTGTGGGTTTTATTCTTATGACCAGAGAGGAAAGTCAGCAAATTAAGTAAACTTTGTAGACTCCATTTCAACAGTCTCTGCGTTTACTGCTTATAAGTAAAAAACACAGTTTTTTAGTTCGGTAAAGAAATTTCTTTTCAACGACTTCATTTTCAAGCTGTACAGTCGTATTTATATTACAGAAAAAGGTTATTAAGTGTCACTAAATAATTGCTCAGTCAATATACATATATATGTGATAAGAATAACGATAATTAAAATGTAATAATTGGTAGCAGTGAAGTGGATAAATTAAAAAATTACTAAAGATTGTTTTATAAGTGAATTGATATCAAAAATGTCAAGTGATGTTTAAAAATTTTGAAAATTAGGATAACGATTACGAGAAATATGCAGATGTGAAGTGAAGTGGAAAGAATTCAAGTGGTAAAATAAAATAAAAAGTAGAGAGAACATTACTATGACCAGGGTAAAGAAAGGGGTTTGGCAAAACGTTTTTGAACATATAATTTAGGTTTCTGTTCATGTATAGCTACAACAAAGGCTATGCATAAGTGAAGAAAACGTAAACTTTTGGATCGATTCGATTTCGCCATGTAGATAACTTTGAAAGAGAAATCACGTGGGGCTAAATGACCAGACTATAACAGGTGATCACAGATAGACGACTTTGCAGTTCTACGTTCGCTTTTCATTAACCAAACCGGATAGTGTTCAGCTACACGTTTTCGGAGATACGCTTACAACGTCCGATATAAATGGCTCCACAAGAGCAGATAAAAGAGTAAATGCACATAAATGTGGACAAAAGCGCTTATCTGTCCTTAACGCATTGTCTAATCATATTTCGGCTGGTGAAAACTAGTTGCAAGTCAGCTGCAGGAAAACTGCGTTCAATACATTTAGATAAACGATTTTAAATAAATTAAAAAATGGTGTTACCTTTAAATGCAAGACTCATAAGCAGTTTTTTCTTTGGAACTGCGATTTGTTTAGGGGCGGATTCTTTCTTCATGTAACGTTCAATTGAACTTGTGGGATAACCATTGTTAAGGAGATTCGATCGAAGGTTATCTAGTTCTCAATGGATTGTCTCTGCAGAGCAGATTTTACGAATTCCAGAGCATAATGAATGAATAACATTTCTCTTTCTCCCTAAAGATACCCAACTTTTGAAGTTAATGTACTGCCCAGTGAATGTTGGCTTTCGGTAAATCGACCTTAGAAGCGTTCCATTCTCTCTTCTATCTAGCTTAACATCAAGGAAGTATAACGAAGAATTCGACTCTTCTTCGACCGTGAAAAGCAAAGATGGGTGAGAACCATTAAATATTCTAAGACGTTCGGCAGTTGAAGAGTTTTCATCACATACAATGAAGGTATCATCAATGCATCTTTTATAAATAATCAGACTATCGATGGTTTCCTTTAGTGGGCCATTCTCTAAGCTTGCCATGAAGACGTCCGCTAAGAGCGGTCCCAAAGGAGACCCCATGGCGACTCGATCCCTTTGATTGAAGAAAACATCATTAAATCTATATTGCACATTCAGTGTGCATCTCAATAATAGTCGTTTAAGATAATGAGTTAGTAAGCCAATGTTCATGCTATTTGAATCAATATACTCGCATAGATAGCAGATACTTTCTACTAGTGGTGTATTTGTGAACAATGAACAAACATCTAACGAAATCGTATGCTAACCGGTCATACTTATTTCATCAACACAAGTGACAAAGTCAAAAATGCCGGAAAGACTATGTGTCCATAGATTTAACCTAACTGGTTCAGCAAGCCATTTAGCGGTAGAGTGATACGGTGAATTCAGCATATCCAATACAGGTCGCAGAGGGACATCACCTTTTATACACCTTTGTAAGACCATATAAACGAGAGATAGTTGAACCAGATGGTTAAAGCTGTTCATACATATAGAGAGTAATGATGCATTCTTACTTCAATTTCGTCAAAGTTTTGATAATTCCTTCTCAATATTCTCTGCCTTGTCTTTTTGATCAGGTGATTTTTGACATTTTTCTTCATCACTCAGGACGGTACACAATTTATTGACATAGTCATCACGATTAAGAATAACAATACCTGATCCTTTGTCTGGACGAATCAGTATTATGTTTTTGTTGTTAAGCAATTCATTAAGTTGCCTTTTGTTCTTTTGATAACATTTGTCGTTGTCTGTCTTGCGTTCTTTGGTACTGGTAATAACAATGACGTAATATAAATACGACTGTACAGCTTGAAAATGAAGTCGTTGAAAAGAACTTTCTTTCCTGAACAAAAAATCTGTGTTTTTACTTATGAATAAATGGGCAGTTTTTGTGATTTACTGCTTATTATGATGATTGTCTTCCCTTGACTACTGCTAATTATAGATATTTAACCCTTGTAAATTTAGAACGGAATTTGCAACATCATTGCAATAAGTCGATAAAACATTTATTGGGAAATAAACTTCCACCGAATTTACTTCAACTTGACATAATACCTGAGCAATACTGCCGAAGAATCTGTGCTCTGCACAACAACACCATCAGTGAAATATTGCTTTGCTATTCTTCTTACGCTGGCGTTATTTAGAGTCATATTACTACGATTATATTTTTTAAAAGGAGATATTTTAGAGAAACCACATGTATTTTGTAGGTCACCTTTCCTCCGATATTGATTATCTAGTACGAATCTTGGTGAGATAATCACTATTTAGCTTTAATTTAGCCTTTTTACATACTGCAGGTATTAACTTCGTCTTCTGGTCTCGCAGTTGCAACAGCGTGGTTAGATATATGGACTCTTCTTTCATGGGGTCTTTCTGCACTTTTCTCTGTAATAGCAGTGGTAGTTGGATACAGAATGCGGCGCCTTAATCTGAAGGGATACTATGTCATGTATTACGTGATATCTGGATTGATGATTTTAGGTGGCATTCCGTTTGTGGTTCTCTTCCTTCTAAAGTATAAGGTAAGCAGCGTTTCAGTCAAACGACCTGTTGTATTGATTAATGACAATGGTTCTCTCTTGTAAAACAGATATAACTTCGAAATGATTATTGATGAAACTCTTGCGGATATGTGGCAAAACATTGTTATTTGTGTGTGTATGTGTGTAAAGCTCAATTGTAGAATGAAGTTGTGGATGTGGATATCGTTATCACTGGAGTAACCTGCATGACTATTCATATCGTCCTCTGTGATCATCAGAGTGATGAATTATGGCTAAATTGGTTACTCACTGTGAGAATACACTCAGAATTGATGTATTTAGGTGTATATGTGTTATCACATGGCGAAATTTGTTGATGTAACTGTTGTGTCAGTCGTGAAGCCAAACTATTTTCCTATTTTTTCCTTCAGGATGCCGCAAATCTGGTTTTCGGTGCACCTTTGGTATTCTGTTTAATCGTGGTAAGTTTGATTGTCACAAATGATGACGTATTTGGCATGAAAGTGGTAAGTTAGAGAAGCAAAAGTGATAATATTTATCCCTCATTATTGTCAGACACTTTCGAATATCCTTATTGTTTCCGACTATGTCTTTACACACAGTTCGAAAACATCTGATTTAGAGATTGAACCCCACTGCATGCAAAATAGAAGTTTGTAAATGTTTCAAATACTCTCCAGAGGAAACATTACTTCTATAGGTCACACATTATTAGGCTCAGTCAAGCTGAATGAGGGAGATTTTATGCAGTTCGCTGATGCAGGTTTCCCGCATCCTAGATTTCAGGTGGGTCGTAGGAAGATTTATCTCCAATACCATGTTAGTCATGATGTGATTCCACCTAGTGGGTATACACTCCAAGTGGGAAAACGTTATCTGCCCAACTGTCCAATAGTAGCCTCAGAATGAATGCTTAATCCTTCATGAATGTATATATATATATATATACATGAGCAGGCTTTTCTTTGAAAATGAGGTTGAAAGATACATGTGGCAGCAATTGCTGGCAATAAACTAAAATGATTTTGTCGAAGGTTTATTTACGTACTGTAATATTCCTACAAATCTTCACTGTTGATTCTATTTCATTTTGTCTCTGTGAAACAGGCATTATATCTTACTGGACAAGGTTTAAAGAGTTGCAATGGTACGCTGACTGATTCCTTCATACCATTTAGACAGGCTCTAATCACCTGGGCGTTAGTATGCTTGATGTACATTACCCTTTCACGTACCATTTTAGTAATTCGAGACTATATTCGGAAGAATAATCAAATCGTCATTTAAACCGACATTCCCTTCTCTGCACCACCTACTACCTGACTTTCATCTGTTATTACTATTGTTGTTAAACTGGATTCTGCGTGAAATATAATTCTCAATAATACTTATTCACTTTTATATATAGATTTGTATATCCATAGTCTTTAGAGTAACAACAGTTTTGTGTGTTCATCAAACAAGTTATCCTGGAGGAGTTTTCATGATTAGAAAGTTTGCTCGAGAGCTCGATGTGACGTAAGTATATAGCACAATTGTGAGAAATGTTCATCGTACTGCAGTGTGCAGGATAATTTGTCAATAAACCACGTTTGATATAAATTACTGACATATTCAGAGTTGAACAGACTCACTTCAGTGTAACATTCTCCATAAGCTTGACCGTTCCCTTTGCTTGTGAGTTTAGGAATATTTGATAGGAATAAATTTCAGTTGATTTCACGATACCTAAAATTCGGATCCTGTTCGTTACATTTACTGATTCCTTAAAAATATTTTTGGGAAGCTATTCATGGGAACTGAAAGACGTCCAAGGATTTTTCTTCCTATAATAATCCTGTGCATAAATAAGTATGAATACTAACGAACTTTTAAGAACTTATAAAGTACATTGCATTCAACTTGAAGGATCAAGTGATATACAACCCATTTACAGAAACACAGTAGATAACATAATGCTTTACCAGACTAAGCCCAGTATTAGTGAGTGTTAGGAAGTGAGACAGTGTCAGTTTTGTATCTTTGCACTCAGCTGAAACCACGCGTCTTAGACATGTTTCACTCCTTTCAAGATTAGGCTTATGGTTGAACATGATTCCACCCCAATTCTCGCAATGGCCTAGTTTCCCTTTGTGATACTGCGCCTAAACCAGTGCAAGCTGCATGTGCTAAACCTTTCAACGTCATTATCAAGAAAGATACTTTTTTCATTGGTAGTGCACGACGTTAGCGAACACTAAGTCTTGGTCACCCCAGGGCCCCTGACACTGAGCCAGGACTTGCGACCACTTACACCAGAAACACCAGAAAACCTCTGGACATCAAATATTGAATCCCACTCAAAACTATCAAGCCTGCCAGTATGACATCGGATAGCAATGGTAGCAAGTTGCCCAGTGAACTCACTTGTCAGTGCACACCTTTATCCTAACAGCAAGTGAATTCTCCAAATTATTTGATTTTCAATTTTCAAGCTGTACTTAAATTTAGCAAGAAATATACTCGTATATGAAAAATGGCATTTCCATGTTTTCGAAAACTTGGATAAAATATCAAGTCATTGTGTATCAAGGACACAGTGATAGAGTGCTCGCCAATCTCGCAGGTGGCTCAGAGTTCGATGCCCCCTCTACCTCTTTGAGCCAGTAGTAAGACTGATAAAGAAATAAGGTTTTGTGTGAGGCTAACAACCCCATCCCTTAAGAATAAAAACCACTGCTATAGAAACTTCAAGCCTCTAGCTTGAAGCCATGTGTCCCACTGAGAATGTTGTGGAATAAAAAGACACTTTTTCGAATACTTGAATAAATTATTAATTCGAAAAATCTCAAAGAAAAAAAATAGTGAAAACCAAACACGTAGTTCAGCGAAGCCTCTTTCCGGCGAATTCATTTTCACTATGGCACCACTATTGCTTTTTCACACCCATGCTGGATAGTGTTCCTGAATCCTCAAGGAAAGGATGCGATTTGAACGATCGATGTATCCGGCTCTACAGCAGCAGGTGAACTGATATATGCACATGAAAGTGGTCAAATTAGAAATCTTGTCCTTGAGGCTTCTGCAGATCAGTGGGCGACTAGAGAACACTATTCTTAGCGGAACTACAGATACATCGGATGCGGGTGGTAAGTAATTTAATTAAATTCCGCTGTTGTTGAAAGCGTAGCCAGCTATAGGTGACTGTTGACCATTCCATAACGCTTTTCCATGAATCGCCCCTCTTGAGGTCCCATCACGTCTTCTTGTTAGCTCCACATCAAGAGGCGAAATGTTTGATTCATTTTCATTTCAAGAGTGAATTGTATTGCTGGATGGCAGTAGTTAAATGTCCTCAACAGCAGATTGGGGTCATTATTGTTGGCATAAATAATGAATATTTCATCTACGTATCTTTTATGCAGTCGTAAATTGTCAATGCTCGGCTTTAAAGGACCTTTCTCGGAGCTTGTCATGAGGCAATCTGATAGTAGTGTACACAACAGAGATGCCATTGCAGTACTATATTATGTCTGAAGATGGTGTCATTGGCATTGAACTGGACGTTCAGAGTGCATTTCAGTAGTAATTCCTTCAAATATGTTGTAGGTATTTCAATTCCGAGATGGTTGTCATCTACATATTTGCATATAAAGCAGACCGTTTCCGTGAATGGGACTTTGGTGAAAAGTGACTCATTATCGAAGTACAGCATAATCTCGTTAGACACATTCGGGTCTTGTATGCAGTCAATGAACTGGAAGGTGTCACGGAGCTAGTCTTCTCACAGGTTCCAGAATATCTGCCAACCATTTTGGAATACAGTGATAAGGGGAACCTGACGTAGCCAGAATTAGACGAAGTGGGATGCCAAACTTGTGTATCTTTGGTAAACCATAAATTCTTGGTATTATTGAATCTAATGGCCGAATCTGGTCAAAGATATCGCCAAAGATTGGTTTTCTGGTCTTCATTCTCCTCAAAGTGTCAGTGAGCTGCTTCTCAATCTGTTCCTTTTGGTTTCTTTCATTGGAATGTTGGGAAAATTTATCTTCATTTGACAGTATATTTTTCGTTATCTCGATGTAATCTTTTCCATTCAGGAGCACTTCACCAGCATATTTGTTGAGGCGAGTTATTAGCATATCTTTTTTATCTACTAACTGTTTCAATTCTTCACGGTGTCAATTTGTTAGTTGTTTGCGGACTTTTGATTTTGTATTCAAGTATTGGTAGCGGCAGTCGATAATTGTTGACTTGAATCGCTGTAAGTCATCTTCAGAAGTTGGGATCAGACAGTTCATTTGGCTGATTCGATTTTCAAGCTGAACCTGAGCATGAGGTTTGTTGGCGTTGAAATTGATATTGCATAAATTTTGGCCCACAGCTAGGACTTCCAGCTGCAAGTCGGTTAAAGGTATTAAGGAATAATTGAACAGAAATTTTGTGGGATTCTCGGGAAATTTGGTGTTAGATTTCATCTGCTAAAGGCTGTTATTCACCTGGGTTACGACAGACTGCGACCGTTTCTTCGCAACTAAGTCGATATATTCCGTGAATGTTCAACATTCATCCCGAATCAATTCGTAAAGGCAGAGGACCTTTGGTTGATATGGAAAAGTAGCCTCTTATATATTTTATTTTTACATCTTATTATTCCTGTCCATTGGATTCACTGTGCTTTTAGTAATTTTTGGTGTTCAGCCATTTTTTCTTTACCAACATGGTTTTGTATATTGCACAGCATCAATGAAACCTTGAAAACTGGATTCAGCCACTTCCTGATAATGACTCATATATCGTTGTGTTGGTCCAGTGTATTATTTTCTTCCTTAGATAGTCTATTAGCAGAATAAATACCTTTGTCTTTTTTCATTTTGAGAAAGGTTACATCCAGCTGCGAAGTTTCATTTTGACGTAGAAGCGCAAAGTCTCACAGCCTTTGATTCCACTGCGTTTTCCGAAAGGTCCAAAAAATGAGGAGTTTTGCGTGTCCATCGCATATTTGCCTTTTGGTGCCCTACAGCCCACCTGCCGATTATCCGTGTCTTTTTAAATTCTGTTCTAAAGAAAACACATCTGAACAAGCTAGAATGGCACTCTGGTCTTCTCCTTTGGGCCGGTACTACGCATATTGCGAAAGTTCGTTATTCTGCTTCACCGCATATTTAAATCCTGTAATCTCCTCTTCGAAAAACGTGTAACACCTCATCCCAGTTAAATGTATTGGTTGTCAGATCACACCTGAGTGTTTTGTATTTCAGTTTCGTATTTGGTGCTTGCAGGTTAGTTAGCGCACTGACTGCGTGAACATTCAGGTAGATTGTTTTTATAAGGCTCGATGGTGTTACGCATCACCACGTAGACTAGTAGTCTGATCACTTACGTCTTAAGCACAAAGAGAATACTAGACAAAATTTCAATTAATAAATTAATAAGCCAGTGGGTACATCATTCTTTGATGCTGAAATCATTTAATTTGAATATATAAGATATTCAATATGCGCTTATTTTGATTAGTTCTGTTTATAAATAAGTTCGATCTCACCACGGAAATAGTGCTGTTCGGCTTGAGTTGATACCAAACACTCATATCAGCTAGCACTGTAAACTAACTGATTACAGAACCTCCATGTTTATTTGCTAAACCATGGTATGAATGTTCCACGTGCACGTGGGAAACTACCTTTAAATTTCACCTAGGTCTGTGTAACTTTCGACTGAATTATTGATTTCGATCTCATACAACAGAATCAAATAAATCAGTATCAGAGAAACCTCGTGCAAAATTATGCGACCAAATGAGGACCCAACACGATAACTTTAACTGTGCAAGTGGAACCACAGCTATATAACTTGATCACTAGTTGTTTATATTTATTGTAGGTGCACAATATGAATAATTCTACTGACCACGAGATGTCTAAGATAACCTTGAATGCTTTGATGCATGATATTTAGCAGAAAGCATTTCAGAGAATGAATATTTTGCACAAACTGCATATACTCTTTCTCTTTTATGAATTTGAATAAAGCAAGAACAATATTTTGTTTAGTAAAATATGTCACTATCACTTATTTCGTTTGCTTCTTGTCATCTGATACAGCAAGAAGAAACGGTTAAGTTTAACTGCGCTACCCAGTTATATCACAGTTGCAAATATTACATGATACTGACCTGTTAAATGAATTAACAGTGACAAGGAATTATAGGTATGATCCTCAAACAGTTTAAGCCCAAACAGAAATTCGGTTTTGCACACTGTGGTAAGGAAGATACGTAAAAAAGACAAATGACGAGTAACTAATGAAATGAGTAACAGAATGGTGGGTTAACTCAAGTCCGCTAAACAAGAAACAGTCAAAGTGTGCAAAGGAGAAGAAATCAGA